CAAATTTAAAATTTGTTGTTGTACGACGAATGACGACTTCAACTGACAGATACTTCATGAAAATATTTTGCTTTTTGCACTGCAATATTTTGTACGTTTACAAAAAACTTTGACAGCTTTCAAAGCAATTTGTTCTATAAAAAGTTTAATAAAACAATTACGGTATCAAATACCAATTGAAAAGATATGGACTACTGTATGGAGCCAAATGAAGAGCGGCAAGGAAACGACAAGAAAGCCGAACGTCTCGCGAAAAGGAGGGAGCCAGCGAAGACGACAACCTTTGCTCGAGGAGACTGCTGAGGAAAGAGAAGCTCGCCTGGGAAAGCGTAGAGAAGTATGGAAAAAAAAGACTGCTGAAGCGAAAGGTATTAAAGCAAAGGCTTGTCTTCACAACGCTATGTACCAATGATACTGTAGCTATATATACAAGTTGAAGTATGATATTCGACCCTCTATATTCGACTATTTCTTCACAATTTTCCAATAAAGAGTTTGTCATGACACGCTCAAGTCAGTATAACCAGACTGTATTTTATTTATATCAGTTATCACAGCCACAGGCAATTTTATGCTGTCAAATACCGTCGGTTGCAACTAAGGGTGAACAGTTGCAGATAAAACATTTTCTATTCTCATTAAAAGGCCTGTAAAAGTTTCCAGTAAGTCTCTAGCCCAACACGTTCAGAGCACACAAAGTTTTGTTACTTATTATTGTCCACTGTACACATGGGAAACAACAATTAAGGTTTGTTGTTCTTGACAAACATTGAAGATTCTAATCACGCGAATGTTTTTATGAGCAACTGTTCATCGTTAGTTGCAAGCGACGGTACAAACATTTTTCCGACTGTGACCGAATGTGCAACGATATATTTTTCAAAGTTGTTGTCAATTCCTAAAATTTGTTTATAGTAAAACGGCCTGCTCAACTCACTACTCACGATGATTTCATTTAGAAATGCAGTTACCAGGAAAGGAACTGATTCTAAAATATGTAAATTTAAAAGCATTGGCTAACAGAATAAAGCGATGTGAAGACAAGGTACAAACTTTTATAGTTGCTATTTGTTATAAAATCCTATAAACAAACCGATTCAACAATAATATTGCCTCGAATTTGCATATTCTATGCCGCATGTTTATATTTTATTTTTATAGTATAAAAATAAAATTGTAATACTATGAAATAAAATACATTTCTATTTATTGACCAGTACTTATTTAATGTCTTCTTCATCCAGTGGTCAGAGTAAATTTCTACTTCTAGCAAGTAAATATTTGACAAGCAGTCTGGAATAAGCACAGGAATAAGCACAATGAGCCATTTTATAGCAGCAATATGAAAAGTTTTTTTCTTTTTCCATGACTTTTAATGCATCAGCCAAATCCAAGTGTGCCCATCCCCCTCGCCCAGCCATTTTCCTGTAAAGCACATCCCGGGGGTTGGGTATTTCCACTCGAACCTTAGCCCCGGCGGGGCATTTGAAATTAATAATTTCGATTCTTACACTTCACTTGGTGGAATTAATATTAGAATGTTAGGGTTTGTAATCCAAGTGAGAATATATACATGTATATATTTTGTAATCCAAGTGAGAATATTTTGTAATCCAAGTGAGAATATACAAATGTATAGTACATGTATATATTTTGTGTATATATTTTGTAATCCAATTGAGAATAGTTTGTAATCCAAGTGAGAATATACAAATGTATATATTCTCACTTGGATTACAAACCCTAACATTCCAATATTAATTCCACCAAGTGAAGTGCAAGAATCCAAATTATTGAAGTCCACCTTATCACAACCCGCACACCCGATAACCTAAATATACATGAACTTACGGTTCAAGCTCAACAGCTGGCCTCTGTAGCTCAGTTGGTTAGAGCGCTGCACCGGAATCGCAGGGCCGTAGGTTCAATTCCTACCAGAGGACCTTGTGCTGCATTTTTCGCAGTCGTTCCTGGTTAGGTCTTGAAATGTATATATTCTCACTTGGATTACAAACCCTAACATTCTAATATTAAGTCCACCAAGTGAAGTGCAAGAATCCAAATTATTGAAGTCCACCTTATCATAACCCGCACACCCGATTACTTAAATATA